TACAAGCATTAACCAATATCAAATTCTACAACTAATAATACATCACTAGAATAGTCATCCAAAATGAACGAAATGAAAACTTTTAAGACTGCTCTGGTGTGGCAGGGCTCAGTGCAGGGTTTCCAAGGCCAGACCTATTTATTTTTTTGTTTTACGTAAGAACCTACACATTTTTCAAATGATAAAATAAATTTATTTCCAAACATTTGTTGAAAAAACAATGTATATATCTTGTTTATAAAAGAATTGTAAGTATTTTTTTATATCATTTTATTCCAAGCAAGTGTTTCGAGAAAAATTAGATGCAAATCAATGATTACATGATTTTATATTTTTCTTGTTATCTTTCATCTTGGCATACATCTGTAAAACAAAAATGAAATATCTCTCGCCTAAATTTGACAAATCGCTCTTGCTGAGGCTGACAGAATTATTCTCAGTGTGAATTGTTTCATCTGTTGACCAAGTAGCTTAGCATGGACAAAAAGTCCGACCACGCACAATGATTTATTAATAATTTGATTATGAATCAAACCTGAGTTGGACAGATGCGAAATCCGGAGATAACGCGAAGTCATATTTTTAGTTCATTAATACGCATTGTCGTATCAGCCACCAACTTTCATGATATTAATTAAGAAATTGTCAGCCTGACCCGACATCCACACTAATCTGACAAGAACATTGCTTCACAGTGCTTCATTTTGTCAGACTAAAGTAACACAAGTGGCCTGAGACAAGCCTTATTGCTTCAAACTTTACCTTCAACGTTACGTGTAACTATGAATATTGTTTGTCCATTGATTATTAATGAATACAAGAGATGTTAAAAAAAATTCATGAGAGATTTTGGTTTGAGACCAATTTCAGCTTTATTTCAGCAATGTCATAGAGAGCGATACCAGAAATGGGCTTTACGCATTATATCCATGATGGGAATCAAACCCAGGCCTTCGGCATGACAAGTGAACGCTTTAACCACGTGGCTACCCAGCCATCAACATTTCACAAATATGAATCTTCCATTTCTGACATTTCTCCTAGGACAAATATATACGACCAGTGTATTTTGAAATCCACTTTTTTCAGATTAGTTAAATATATATAACAAGACAGTTGTATAGTGATAGACATCATGTCCACGTGGGTGAATTCCATTCAGGTATAGCTGGGCTGTAGCTTATAGCAGTGTAAAGCCCACCCACTCTTTAACTGATAGTTTCTAATAACACAGCTTTATGACAAGGAACCAACGGTATAGGTCTGATGAATGGGAACACTTTACATGAAACACCAAATTAGAATAGATTTCCCTTCAAATAACACACTTCAAGATCAGCTGCAAAATGTATGCTAGTCCTCTATCCTGAGACTATCAAATTGTGTTGAGGACAAGTGACAATCCAATGATTGTCCTTATTGGCTGGTAGCGTTTGGGGGCCATAATTCTGAACCAGTTCTTAAAGCTTCAGTTTTGCTACAAATTGGAACTGAATAAAACTGACAGAAAATTAAAAATATCATACATTTGTTCATGCCCAAGCAGGCCTAGCTGCAAACTCTGAGGATCAGTGAAAGAAGCTTTATATTAACCCTCATGACTAGTCTTTAAAAACTGAATTTCTAAAGCTGAAGATGGTCATGAAAACTCAGAAAACTGATGTGTGACGTCTACATTTTTCAGAAATAGCAATGGAATTTCACCCTGGACTTCCTATTCCCAATTTTGTCAATCTATTTCAAGAAAGCAATTTTTTACCTAAATCTCAATAGGGATAAAAATACTCTTTTCTGGGATTCTACATTTCAGTCCGTACTGGACAAGCATCTCGCTCCCTATTTGAAGCCCTTCTTCCTTCTCATCACCAGTTTCAATCATCTGGCATCCTGAAGCAATATAAATAGGAACCGAGTTTTATTGTCATTATTTCTGCTACAAACGCAATACGTCAACCAATGAAATAAGTTGTCTGCTTCCCAAAATAGCTGCATTTCTCCACTATGTTACGGTGGCCATCTGTTGAATGGAGGCGTGGGCGGCTGGGCATCAACGGGATTCTTATACATCAGCCTACCTGAAAACTACGGTAATTGCTCTTTTGAGACACAAAGAAAATTGGATCCAGTTCTATGTTAAGGCCCTATTATTTTTTTAGTTGGTTTATGAGACTGACTGACAAAATAAATCTGAAATTGAAAACAAAAAAGAAGACTTTTGTCCAAAAAACTACATGGCTGACTCTAGTCTACAATTAGGTGAAATGAAAAATAACACACACAAGATTTTATAACCACTGTTTTTATGTAATGGTAAATAATATGTATAAACATCTTTAGCAAAGACGAAGCAATTATCTTTCGGTATCGATTTGCGATCATACTTCTGTGATGGTGTGACCTACAAGTTTGTTTTTCAATCATCAATGAAAGTACTTATCAAGAGTTTGAAAATTAATTATGTACTTTTTGACCACCTACAGTGAATTTTAGGTCCCAAAGTTTGTAAACTAACTAACAAAAAATATAAGGCCTAACGTAACATGTTATAATCAATTGTGATTTTGCAGGGACAGATGGCATGATCATGAATTTCTCAACTTCTGAAATCCTTCTATATCGTTACAAACTTGTTAACAAATCTTGGGTCATTATGGATCTGAATCAGTCAACATCCCAGAGAATGGATATTGCATCAAGAAGGACGTGTGATAATATCGATTATACCCAAATCTTGAAAAGATTAAAGGTCATGCAATTAAAGTGATTATCAAATCTCACAGTACACTACACCATTTCATTACTTCGCAGGACCCTCATACTTCCTGTAGGGACCCTTGACATTAATTATTGATGGTCCTCTGGACCCCTAGTTTTGTAGGTCAAGGTAAAGCCCTGGCTTATGAATTACGTAAAGTAAAACCCTCATTTGAACCAAAGTTCAACTCGTCATTGCGTTAGAAAAACCTTAAGAACAAAAAGCACCATTTCAGTACTTGCCTGTAGGGCATACAGCCTCACAAACATTGTACAATTAATGACCATTTCACTATGAAAATGAACCCTACTCCGTTTCAATTTAAGGTCAAGTTGTTGTTGACTTGGAATGCCTGATGTGCATAACAAAGTTTCATTGAGGAATATTGACTGGTTGACAAACCGTACCCCCATTTAAACCCAAATTGCCCTAGGAACACAACATTCTTTTTAAAACAAAATAAAAAAGCACCAGTTCACTGTTTGACTCATGTAAGTCTGTTTACGAATTAAAAAACTTGACAGATGGATGAAGCCGACTCTATATCCTCCTCAGAACTTCATTTGGGCAGGAGATAAATCAAGATAACTAAAAATGTACCCAGTAAAAGTAACAACAACAGCATTCCATTTTTCAATTTTGAAAATAATATGGTAAGTTATTATTTATTGATAAAACAAGAAAACATATTGGGTCTACATTGGTAAGGCCTTTGTCTTATTTTGTAACTATGGGTCATGAGTTTCCTAAAGCGAGGCTCTCCTCTCCAAAAGTGTGTCCCCATGATAACTACAGTACTTCATCATCGAAAACACACAGATATTATCATTAACAAAAAATGACTGAATGTGTTTTCATATCACTCCCTAAATGGGTTTTTTTCACTTCCATTTCACTAAAGATGAGATCGAGATGTGATTTAAAAATCACTAATGTGTTAATGTCTAAAATTAATCCTGCAAAGCAGAACAAATAACAAAATATCTCTTTACTTTAAATATAATTTAGATGTCATTTCTTATGAGATTAGGGCCACATACAATATAGTCACCAGGGGCCAAATTGGAAAATGAATTTGTATTTTATCTCCTCAAAACAGTACTTTACAAGTCCTGAGGGAGCCAAAAAAATTCAATTGCAAAGTGTTGACATCTTGTCTCATTATTGAGCCATTTTGGTATCTATCATTGCTGAATTTAGCAATCAGTAAATAGGTATTGTAGGTTGAGGAATAACATTGTAATTTTATAATGGTACGTTGATTCCTTTTACCCTGCTACGGCCTATCATTATGAAATACACATGCCTGTTTAACTGTATAAATCACATTATCGTATTACTTGAGAAACTATGGTAACGACAATAAACCTTCTTCAAAGTTTGTACATCACATTGCAGTCATCGTGATCTCTGTTAATTGATTGTAGACAAATAAATTGAAGCTTTTGTTAAATGTTATAAGATAAGAGTTTAAAACAAGCATGGCAGGCCAGTAAATTTGGTTTCTTCTTGTCAATCATTGGCCATTTGATATTTAGAAATAGTTTTTAGATAATGAAATTTCCTTTGTTGTAAATGATACATTTATTTTTGATATTGTGAATGTATTTTTGAGTGTTCTTGGCTGGGCAAAATAACAACACTGTAGCTCACCTGAATGTATTCAACTGTTAAAAATGTCAACAAAGATGTGTTTTTTAACGAACAAAAACTGATGACATTTGTAGCAAATGGAAACAATGCAACAGACTTTGAGATTATTTAGCTGCTACATGGGACATGCTGGAAGGTATGACATGTTTGATGGCATGACATCACTGCTGGTATGACATGTTTGATGGCATGAAATCAGTGCTTGTACGACATGTTTGATGACATGACATCACTGCTGGTATGACATGTTTGATTGCATGACATCACTGCTGGTATGACATGTTTGATGGCATGAAATCAGTGCTTGTACGACATGTTTGATGGCATGACATCACTGCTGGTATGACATGTTTGATGGCATGACATCACTGCTGGTATGACATGTTTGATGGCATGACATCAGTGCTTGTACGACATGTTTGATGGCATGACATCACTGCTGGTATGACATGTTTGATGGCATGAAATCAATGCTTGTATGACATGTTTGATGCTTGTATGACATGTTTAAATATATAACATGTAAAATATGACACCATGCAATTTTACTACACTACACAGAGTTGGTATAAAGCTAATGAATTGCGCCTACCTGTGAATACACTTGGCACTTTGGACATGAAGCTTTTGACGGTTCGTACAGGAACACCCGTTGCCTCATCCTGCATCCGGTCCACTATTGCTTCCATCTGCAACACAACAATCACCATAGACTTAGGATGTTAAACAGAGAAAATGGTACCGTTTCATAGTGAGAAGAATGTTGATACCCACACACAACAAAGCATTAATGACGGTCAGTTACGGTTTTCGGCATTTGGTTTTTTGATCAACTGAAGCATTATTTCACAACTGTGGGATAAAATGAAAACATCAAGATTTATTTAATATTCCTTGTTTTGCCTGTTAAAATTGATTGATCTGGAAAGGGAATTAACTCTTAGTCTTGCCAATCAAAGAAACACCTCCAGGAAATTTCACCCAAACAGACCAGTAGTAGTCTGTACACCGGTGATATACCATCAGGATGGCCTCACTTCTAATAAGGGGCCCCGTTGGCCCTGTCTTCTTAGCAGTGTTAAACCAAACTCACTTACTTTCATTAAAAATAATCACCAGACATCCATCATCAGGTTACCTTCCCTATTAACAAATCAGAACTACACGCTTACATTTCAATCACTGAATCAGTGCAAAAGCCAATGGATATAACACAAGGGTCACCACACAAAAACCTCAAGATATCTTGTCCTATTTCTTGCTGATATCACATAAAGTTGCTCACTGAATTTGCTTTCTTTGTAATTACTGAATGAGTCCGTAGCTCACCTGAACTCTGCAACATTAATCATACAGGGTCAGGACAAAGGGTAACAAGCAAGTGTATTTCATGATAGGGGGAGCAGTGGTGTAGCCTTGTGATTAAAGCTTGGCTCGTCACACCGAAGATCTGGGTTCGATTCCTCAAAAGGGACAATATGTGAAGCCCATTTCTGGTGTCTAATGCTGTGATATTCATGGAATATTGCTAAAAGCGGCATAAAAACATACTCATAATGATAGGCTTTAGCAGGGTAAAAAGCAAATAACATGAATAAATGTATATACTATTACCCACCACCTACTTACTGATTATCAAATTTCACAATGACAGATAAAAAATTGCTAAAAAATGGGCCAACCTGTCAAATTCAATATGGCTGCGATTGGGACCATGTTTAAAATCAAATCAGCATTATGTGAGCATTTTGATACAGGGAAAATGGTTAGGTGAGCTAAGAAACAGTAGACATAGGTCAATCATATGCACTATTTTGACACACTGGTAGAAATAGGATGTTTTAATCAACTGGGGTGCAGACAACTAGATTTAGTCTCAACCACTAGCCCATAGAACCAGCTGGTACAGTGGGCAAGTATGCAATCACACTTGTCAATTACAGTCAGATGAATCAATGAAAACCTCACTATTCAATGCCAATTGCAGTAATCAATGACAATCACACTGATCAATGCCCAATCGCACTAATCCATCAGAATCATACTAATTGATGACAACCATACTAATGCAGCTATGATTAATAAGTCAGCTAGAAATGTGGTTTCATCCTACACCTAGGGCTTAAGGGCCTGGGCCATGTTCAATAATGCAATCTTATTGCCACAACTATAGTAAGTCTATGTTGAAGTATGGGAGCTATGATCATCACAGCACTATGACTATAGTAAGTCTATGTTGAAGTATGGCAGCTACGATCATCACAGCTCTACGACTATAGTAAGACTATGTTGAAGTATGGGAGCTACGATCATAACAGCTCTACGACTATAGTAAGACTATGTTGAAGTATGGGAGCTACGATCATCACAGCACTACGACTATAGTAAGTCTATGTTGAAGTATGGGAGCTACGATCATCACAGCACTATGACTATAGTAAGTCTATGTTGAAGTATGGGAGCTACGATCATCACAGCACTACGACTATAGTAAGTCTATGTTGAAGTATGGGAGCTACGATCATCACAGCACTACGACTATAGTAAGTCTATGTTGAAGTATGGCAGCTACGATCATCACAGCACTACGACTATAGTAAGTCTATGTTGAAGTATGGGAGATACGATCATCACAACACAACGACTATAGTAAGTCTATGTTGAAGTATGGCAGCTACGATCATCACAGCACTATGACTATAGTAAGTCTATGTTGAAGTATAGAGGCTACGATCATCACAGCACTACGACTATAGTAAGTCTATGTTGAAGTATAGAAGCTACGATCATCTTAGAGCTAAGATTGCTTTGTGGAATCGGGCGCTGGTTAAGAATGCTGCAGGTCTGTTCTAAGAGTACTTAATTTTTTCTTGGAAATTATTTTTATTGTCTTTATTATTATTTTTTTATTCACATATATATCTCTATCCCTGGTCACAAATACTACAGGGCATAGACGTGAATTTAAGTTATAGTTGGTTGGTTGGTTGTTTAACGCCGTACTCAGCCATATTCTGGCTATATGACGGTGGTCTGTAAATAATTGAGTCTGGACCAGACAATCCAATGATTGATATCTTGAGCATCGATCTACGCAATTGGGATACGATGACATGCATCAATCAAGTCAGCGAGCCTGACCACCTGATTTCGTTAGTCGCCTCTTGTGACAAGCACAGTCGCCTTTTACGGCAAGAATGGGTAAGTTATAGTACACGTACAAGTAGGCGAGTGTCATACAAAAAGTCATTTGATCTAACAGTACACATGAAAACAAAGAGGTGGGGGTGAATGTGCATCTTGGTGTGAAAAGGGCACTTGTAAACTACTCTACCAAATTCACATTATGTTATACAGCGGTAGAAACTAACAGTTTTAGTCCACTAGTCCTTATAATGATAACATATAGCAAAACCCTTAAAAATGGCAAATTTCTACTAGTCCTTATGATACCTCAACTATTGGGCAGATTGGCAAGGACTACAGGAGTAGTGCCAATTTCTACTGATGCTATTACGGCAAATCATTCACTATTTTTCAGAAAAGTAGAATTAATATTTAACTTTTTTTGGTGAACATTCTAACCACAGATGGATGCAATATCTATCAATAAGACAACATAATTTAAAACTAATTTTCAAAAATCAATAGACATGTAAGCATTAACGTTCCACTCATGTCATACAGTGACACGATGTCATGCACGAAGGCTGCAGTGCAGCTTATTATGGTACAAGGAACAATTCTGCAACACTGAATTCACCCTTGCCTAGGTCAAGATGGGAGTGCTGTAAAATGGGACTTGATTCCCATTTTGTTTGATACATAGTGATGTATTTTTGACAATTTCACGAAAATCAAGATTCTTGGCTGATTCTAATTAAGGATAGTTTGTCCGACATAATGTCATAAGAACACTTACATATACAAAAGTGATTCAAAATAATACCAGCAGCCATCCAATGTGGGTACAATGCTAAAGGTGTCCAGGACAAACTTGAGGATGGCACATCATATCCACAAAACAGGGTTCCCATATTTTCAATACTACTTCTGAAGTCATAATACCAGACAGCCTTATACACGATCGATCATTAACTCAAATCATCTTCGGCTTACGACATGATTTCACTTTCATAAATCAAGGAAAATACAGAAAACCTTCAAGACAAACCACCATGACTACACCCTCTTCAATAGCAGAAGATGAAACTGGATTAGCAATTTGAATGAAGAATATGTTTACCCATCGGGCAACTAAAGATTCTCATCAATTTGTAAGCTTTGCCATAAAGCTTAATTGTTCCAATGTAAACAACATAGAATTACCATCGGCAAATTACCTGTGATATTCAGATTTCTGTTCATTAAACTACTGCAACTCTGGGGTTAAACATACAATTATAGGAAATCCTAAAATTTGGGTTCTGTCAACAGTAATTGGTAAACAATGTATTTGTAGCTAAAAATCTCTCATTAATAGAGGCAGGGGGTACGTATTCCGCCATACACTGACCCAGAGCTTTACTAGGCAGCCATCAATCCCCCAAACTGGCAGGGAATCCCCTAAAAGCTCTATGGCTACGTACATCAAAGGCCTGGCTATCTGATGTGATTGAGGCAATTTCCTCAACTGTTTACCATGCCTGGTTCATTCACACAGATTCACACAGGGCTGAGGCACAGGAAGGTGTTTCCTCAATGATGTACTACATTCACACAGATTCACACAGGGCTGGGGCACAGGAAGGTGTTTCCTCAATGATGTACTACATTCACACAAGGCTGGGGCACAGGAAGGTGTTTCCTCAATGATGTATTACATTCACACAGATTCACACAGGGCTGGGGCAGGAAGGTGTTTCCTCAATGATGTACAACATTCACACAGATTCACACAGGGCTGGGGCACAGGAAGGTGTTTCCTCAATGATGTATTACATTCACACAGATTCACACAGGGCTGGGGCACAAGAAGGTCTTTGTTCATGACATTTCACTAAGGCGGTATGAAAAGATCATAGTGGTATCTTACATTGAAAGAGGTCTTTTCACAGTGGTATCTTACATTGAAAGAGGTCTTTTCACAGTGGTATCTTACATTCACAGATGTCCTTTTGGAGACATATCTTACATTCACACAGAAGCAACCAGAGATCACTGGTTTGAATCCACATTTAACCCCAAGTATGATTCTTGGTTTGCCAACACCCCATCCAGAAAGACCTGTGATAAGTATCATTTAAGATTTTCCTTCAACACTAAGCTAAAACTGTATTAAAACTGAAATACTGTTCAAACGTATTACAACTGACATTCTGCTCAAAGCCATACTGAACCCAAGCCACTCACTCAAATGACTGAGAAGAACTATTTCAACCTTACGTCAAATCAATATTTAAGCCACACATGCAACCAAATTAAATGACACTAACATGACTGTTTCAAAAGTAAGGTGCATATGGCATAAATTCTCCTTTATTCAAAGGCAATGGTGTTTCTTTCTGTTTGAAAATTATCCATTTGAACATCATCAGAAGTGCTCATTTGCATGTAAAAGATACCAGTTACATCATGTCTGAGTTACTGAGGGTGTTTTCAGTCCAGAAATGATTGATCTGACCATAAAAACAATGATGCTTATTAAAACTGATGTGTTCATCAAGACAAAATTGCTGCGTCATTTTTT